CTGATCATCTGGCTTTTGCTGAAGGACTCGACAGTGACCTCTCCATCCAGCAGTGCGGTACAGCAGTTGAACTGGAAAGAGTGTCTGGCCTGGTGCTCGCTAACTGGAAGAGGGCAGTCTACATATCTGGATGTGGGCACTCTGAGAGTGATCTTCTTGATTTGACTGAGATCTGCATTTGGGCATTTGTCCAGAAATTTCGCCCTTGCTTCTATTGCTGCATCTGCCACCCAGTGCATCCCGAGATGGGCGGGAAAGCGCTTCTGTGCAATGTTCTGGTCTTCTAACACCCACCTGTAACGAGAAGTAGGGGTGACCTCAGCCAGTGGGTGAGGGACATAATCTGGATAGAAGGCCCCAAAGCCTGATTCCAGATCCAGAATCTGTGCGTTACCCTCAAGGCCGAGGAGAGCGAGTTGGGTGGCCTCCAGACCCCCTCGGGCAGCATTGCCCATGTGGAGAGGTTTGGTTTGAGTCGCAGCATTTGCCATGGGCGCTCCAGCAGATGAGCAGGCTATCGCTAGAGCTGCTATGCTCTGGGCCGCTGGGAGACCCAAAAGTTTAGCCGTAGCTGCCGCACTGCCCATAACCCCAACAACTGCAGGCGGGTGAAATCTGAGAGGGACACATGAATCAGAATAAATATCTAATAAATAAAAAATCTTTATTAATCAGCAAAGGTGAGTACAGTCATATGGTTTTGCATTAAAATCAAATTCCATTAGAACAGTTAAAACAGTTAGAAATGTACACTGCTGTTCAAATATTTGGAGTTGGTAAGATTTTTTTTTTTTTTTAATTAATACTTTTATTTAGCAAGGATGCATTAAATTGATCAAAAGTGATATTAAAGACTTACATTATTACAAAAGATTTATATTTGAAATATTATGAAATCATGAAATATTCTATCTAAAAATCTATTCATGAAAGAAAGAATACAAAAAAAAGTGTCACATTTTTAACATTGGTAATAAAAACAAATGTTTCTTGAGCAGCAAATCAGCATATTAGAATGATTTCTGAAGGATCATGTGACACTGAAGACTGGAGTAATGATGCTGAAAATTCTGTTTTGCGTCACAGGAATAAATTAATGCAGTGCTTCTAATTGCTTTGATATTCCAAAAATACACCCTGAAGTTTCAGTTTCATCCCCAATTACTAAAACTGAAAATGCCTATTATGTAAATTTGAAAGTCAAAATCGCATGATTAGCTTTAAAAATGGGGCCAGATTTGTTATTTGGATTTTTTTTTCTTTTTCTATTTGTATTAAATATTTCATTTGAATGCATAATTGTACACTTTAGAAAACACTGTTACCTTTTGGGAATGTTGTGTGCCTCTTTAGAAAACCTCAGGAGTCTCCCCTGAACCTCTATGCCTACACTGAAAGCCAGCAACAGCTCCAGGCCAGAGGGTTTAACAGGCAGAGTTTCAGCCAGTGCCAGAACAGCTGGCAACACAGCACCAGAGGGGTGAGTGGCTGGATGCCAGGTGTCGTCAAAGTCCATAGAGTGCACCTAATTTATCACAAGAACACATTCCATTATCAGTCTGAGAAAACACATATGTGCTTTAGCATGACCTGCTTGATTATGTAGAAATTAGTAAATGATTGTTTTATCACAAGTATATGTATTTATAAGCAGTGTTGGGAGTAACGCATTACAAAAGTAATAATATTACAGTAGTATATTACGTTTAGCTGTAACGCAGTAATATAACGCATTACTAATAAAATTTGGGTAATATTATTACTCGTTACAATCTCAGTAACGCAAGTTACAACAACATATTTTAACTCAAAATTAAGTGGTGAATTTACCAACACCGCAAAACAGCACCAGAGAAAAAAATCCGCAGGTAAAATAGTTTGTCTATCTTCTGTTGCTGGAATTAGATGGTTGAGATGACTGCAGAGACGGATTCTACATTTGTGAGATGGACACACTCCTGTTATTTTCAGTTCATCGGAGAAAAGCATAAGAATGCATAGTCAGGTGCAATATGTGCAACACCAAACTCTCAACATGGAGAAATAGCACGAGTAAAACCTGGAAACACCTAGACTGGTGCCACTAACACTAAGAGTGTAACGCATTACAATTCAGAGACAGTAATATTGTAATGTAACTAATTACTTTCAAAAGACAGTAACTAGTAATATATAACGTATTACATTTTGGAAGTAACTTGCCCAACTCTGTTTATAAGAGTATCTATTTAAAATGACCTACCGCAACCCCATTAACAAAGGCAGCATACTGAGGTGGAAGAGATAATCCTGGTCTTCCCCAGACCTTGCTGTTTTCCAATGCTTGCTGCCTCTAAATTATAAATTACCAAAAAGAAATGTGCATTAAACATAAAATACATCAAAGAAGGACCAATTAACAATATTCCTCTATGCAAACACCATCCTTACTTGGCTGCACTGAAGTACTGTGTTAAAGACTGGGGTGCTGGTTCCAAGCAATCCCACTCCCAGCGTGTCCAGTATCATTCGCTTGCTCCTCCTTATCACTTCATCGGTCAGATGAGATGTGCTCAGACAGGAGACTGCTGCCCCAAAACTCTCAGTAACTCCCTGAGAATATAATTATAATAATAATATTGCATAGTACATCAACAGCACAAATACACTTTGGATGCATTTGAATTTTAAATGTAGCAAAAGAAGAAATATATGTGTAAAACATAGCTGGATGAATTATCTAACATTGCTTTATCATGCAAAGAAATACTACAAGAAATAAGTCAGTACCTTTCTGATCATTGTGTGAGGTCTGAATCCTGCTGTGACTTCAGTGTGGTAACGTTCGCCTTATATACTAATGTTCCTGTAACTAAAACTGTCTCACCAACCACTAACTTTCCAAGGTTACTTAACCACAATAGCGTGAAGTGCATTGTTTCACAATTTGCAACTACCTAATGGCATTAAATCACAGTTTAAATGTCGCACAAGAACATGACAAATTTGTAATCATACTGTATGTTTTGATTTTACAATATATTTCCACAAAATAAAATTAGCAATAAAAAAATTAAGCATAAAACGTAAGACCAACAAATTAATAATAATAATAATAATTATTATTATTATTATTCCAGAACTTGGCTTACACATTAACATTGATCAGATCATTGTCCACACAGAAAAATATTCTCTTTTTACAGAAAATGAAAATCACTTCATGGAATCAGAGTGCTTTCATGGAATGGAATTGAAAACAGGACCATTATCAAATCACATGATATTAGGATATGACATTATATTTCATGAACTTGTATACACAGTGTGCATCTCCAGCGTTTGTGAAATCTGGAATTTCTTTTGCAATTGTTCTGTCAGTCACTGGTTCCTCATAGTGTCACATGACATGAGTGTGACCCTTGTGAAGTGAAAGAAATATAGGCTATTGTATTGTTTAATGTATTTTTGTAGACAGTATTAAATTACTGAACTTTCCAGTGGTTAATGCCATCAATATTTACATGAGTTTTGGATTTATTATTTTAGTGTCTTCCAAGTGTTTTATTGAACAGTTTAAAGTCAGTTTTCCTGATGCTTTAACGTCATTCTTGTTCAATAAATGCTTATTTCCCATTAATATTTTTTTATTATGCATGAATCATTATGCAGCTCATCATTTTACATGCTGTATGACCTGAATTGGGTGACAAGTAAAGGTGTTAAATGTGCAACTGGTGCTCTGGGACTGAAAAACACTGTGTAGAAACATATGTTTTATATTCTTTAGAGTTATGGAATAATTAATTTACTTGCGGTTTACAATATTATATAACACTATGTTATATAGTGGTGGAGTCTTCAGTTCCTGTCTTACTAGTGGACAGAACCATGGTGCAACCTTTCATTTCACCCTTAGCCCCTTCTGGTGTACAGATGCAAGCACAGCCTTTAGCTCCAGCCCGAGCCTGTTTTGTCTGACAGTTAGCCTCTGCCTCACTGAACCCTGGAGCTTCTGCCTCCACCTTCAGTCCAGAGGTTTGCTTGTATTAAGCCTACAGTATATATTTATTGCTGGTGGGATGTTGCATTCATGGATTGTAAGAGACAATCCATGGAGTTATGGAATTTCTTTTTCCATAATTTGCTAGTGGTCTCTTTATTCAATTATGTGTTGTTGCTGTATAAAAACTTATATTTTAATTAAAAAGCTATTTAACTGTCACTCAAGCATGTCTGGATGAGGTTTTCTAGTTAAAATTACTTGTATTACATTGCTGTATGTGCAATTATATAAATTTAATAAAAAATTATAATAAAATTATATAAAACAATGCATTGCACTTCTGTGTTCTGTTTGTAACTTTATTTCAAATCAGGATTTTGCTGATAGCCTTACATAAATGAACTGTCATACATTAGATTTTGACTGAAACAATTAGTTATTTTTTTCAGTGCATGTTGAATTTGATTTATTACAGGGTTAGATTTAATAGTTTTGATAAACCAGTGGAAACATAATGGCTGACTCCACATATATAGGCCTTAGTCAGGGTATTGCCATATTTAATTTTTGATGAAAATGAAATCCAGGCTGTGAGGGATGGAAGTACATGCGTTCAATGGATTTTAGGCCTACTATTGCTTAACAACATACTAACTGTTCAGCTGATGAAATATCTTCCCTAGAGAAAAAAAATTACTAGACAAAAACTAACCTGACTAAATTCCGATGTAATACCACTAGATGTCACTATTCTCCTTTGTCATGGAGCGCATGGGAGAAAATGTCAATGCTGTAATTTATTAGATCATTTTTATCCTCTGTGTGTGGGGAGAAGATTCGTTTAGTCAAATATCTTTGCATTTTCCCGTTTATTATCTGCATTTAAGTTTAATTTATATCCTTAAAACATGAGTTTTTAAGAAAAATAAAAAAAGAATCAGTGTAGCATCTAACAGGCACTGATCATTGACAGCAGGAGGCACGACACCAGTTGGTCCCATTTTGCCAATGAAGCGTTAACATCAGCCGTCTTCTCTCCCCTCCCACAACCTATTTAAACAAACATCTGCCCTTATCTTGAGTCTTTAGGAACCCCGTTGCACACAGTCGCGAATAACTAGCATCTGCTGTTGAAGAGACGTGATGGCTTTGGCAGATCCCGAGTGCAGAATATCAAACGGCGCGGATTCCGCCTCCCCGTTTTCTGATATTATTGAACTAAACGTGGGAGGACAAGTGTATGTGACACGGCACACGACTTTAATAGCCGTACCGGATTCTCTCCTGTGGAACATGTTTAGTAAGAAAACACCGACAGAGCTGGCACGGGATAGCAAAGGTCGCTTCTTTCTGGACAGGGACGGCTTTCTTTTCCGCTACATTTTAGACTACCTACGGGATCTAAATCTGGTTTTGCCTGACTATTTTCCAGAGAAGAGCAGATTACAGCGGGAGGCTCAGTTTTTTAAGCTGCGGGAGCTGTCCAAGCTCTTGAGTCCCAAAATGAGTAAAGACAACTCCATCAACGATGAGATCTGCCAGAGTGACTCGGAGGAGCCGAGCGCGACTCCGTTGGTGGGACCCGACACCTCGCGCACGCTGTCAGTCGCCATCACCGCTCATTCACCTTCCCTGGAGTCCAAAAAGTCGGGCTACATCACAGTCGGTTACCGAGGCTCATATACAATCGGTAGAGACATACAGACAGACGCCAAATTCAGGCGGGTCGCGAGAATCACGGTGTGCGGGAAGACTTCTCTGGCTAAGGAGGTGTTCGGAGACACTTTGAACGAGAGCAGAGACCCGGACCGACCTCCGGAGAGGTACACATCGCGCTATTATCTGAAATATAATTTTCTCGAGCAGGCGTTTGACAAACTGTCAGAGTTTGGCTTCCATATGGTCGCGTGCAGCTCCACTGGCACGTGCGCCTACTCCAGCAGTGACCCAAACGAGGACAAAATCTGGACAAGCTATACAGAGTATGTTTTCTGTCGAGAATGAGCCAAAATGTGTTGCATTTGATTGTGTATATAAGCATTCCACTATAAATAAAGTAAAGTAAACGTAGAGTAAGGTTTCAGCCTTTGTGGAGAGGTGTAGCCTATTGGGAGTGTTTCACAAATTTCTAGTTGTGTACATCATAGAATTGGCTCCGAGACTTTAACAGCCTGTAAGTAGTCCATGTTGCTAGAATTAACGAACGCGGAATAACTATCATTTCACTTCCCTTCATAGCTTTTTCAGATTTGAGGGTCTATTTGTAAAAAGTTCCAGATGTGTTTTGTAGCCTACTTGCTGTTCTTGTTGCATGTTTAAAATGAACACATTAAATATTTTTCTTCCCGGGACAATGATTTAACGGACGATTCCACTTTCAGGAAAAGTCGATTGCTGACACATTAGGCAACATTCTGGAAAGACCCTGACATTCAGCTTCCTTTGTGTTCATCAGACTGTAGATCTCAATGACACTTTTCCTTGATACGTTCAGTTGTATCTTTTCACTGTGAATAACCAACTAAAACTGAAAACCTAAGTTTAATTGCTGCCTTAATTTCTTTAGTAAAATTAAAGTGGTGCCAAAGTTACCTGCGATTCGTTGCACTTTTTGACCACTTTGAATTTCATTACAGATTAAGAAAATCGAGTGGAAGCTCTTAAAACTCGAAATCAAAAGAAGTAACAACTTTGTAATATAGATATTACAAAGATATTAATTTTTTTCAAGTAAGTATTACCTTTTTACAGCATACAACTGTATTGTACTGCATTTTGCACATATTTTGTTTGGGCAAGAGTGGGAATTGGTTTTTTGTTTTGTCTTAGGTTTACTGTTTCTATGTCTGAATTACAACAACGTTCTCCTCTTTATTCCAGCATTGTAAGCATCTGTTGTCTGTTCAAAAGTTGATCATACAATAAATTATAATCTGTTATAATCTTTCAGCTTCAGCCTTAATTTTATTTGTTTCTGGCGTGTCTTGTCCAGCTCTAAAGGCTGGAGGGCTAAACAAGAACATGTGTAACCAGCTGTTGAACAACCCATATTTACTCTTCTGTTTGGTGCAAATGCATCCCATGCTTTAAGCTTTTTTTTTAAAATAACTTTTTTGTGGCATTGAAGTTGAAGAGGGTTTACTGTAAAAATGCATGTTTGAATTTAAATAGGAAAAATGCTAAAATTGTTTCAGCAATAACATAAAACATAAATTTTTAGCATAACCTTTGCCTAATCTCATCAAACGATGATAGAGATTGAGGGAAAAATTTAATTACAAGGAAATAACTGGGATTAACAAATCAGTCCTGAAGCTTGCTTTTTAGATGGATGAAGTATTATTAACTGCTCTCAAGAGGTTTTCGGGTCAGCCAGATTATTTCAGTGGCCTGCGCATGGATCATTGTATTAATGAATACAATAATTGTACCAATGTACAATAGTTCCCTTTCCTTTTTTTTGTGACACAAATATTGTTGAAATGCAGATGGCGCAGCTGTGCACAAATTTGGTGGCATTATCATTTCGAGTGTAAATAATGAAAGGATCCAGCTGCAAGATTAAGGTTACAGAACGGGTCTCTCTGTTTACAGCCAGTGAAGGTTCTCTATTGCATTTGCATTCAACAATATATACTAAAACATTTAAAATTTCTGTTCATTACATATAAATTGGGGTAGGAATTATTAGAAAATTGTGGGGTGGACAATCCTTACACTCATTAGTCTTCTGTATATAACTATCCACTAAGTTTTTCAACACACAAGTACGCTATTTTTTGCAACTAAAACAACAGGTGCAGTTGTGTATTGTCTGCATTGCAGGGATAGTAGAACCCATGTGCCTTCATGATTGGGCCAAGTGAGGCCATGTATATAAAGAGAAGGAGACCAAGAATGGTCTGAGATTAGTTCTGTCTCATCTGGCGTCCTTCAGGGGTCGGTTTTAGGTCCTTTACTTTTTAACATTTATTTGTCACACCGTAAAAAATTCATGTGAAATCTACAGGAATTTACTGTGTTTGTGCACAGGAAATTACTGTATACTAGTTCACAGTAGAATACCGTAGTTTCAGTCCAAATTGCAGTAATGTAAGAAGTACTGTGAGTGTCACAGTAACCAGCAATGTCTTGTAGAAAATCACAGTAACTTCCAATGTATTGTAGAAAACACAATAACTAATTATGTACTGTAGAAAATCACAGTAATTACCAATGTATTGTAGAAAACACAACAAGCAATTATGTA